TTCTTATGGGGGGGGTGCATGCCCCCAGACCCCCCTTTAACTTAAAGTTACTCGTATAAGTGAATATTAATGAAAAGCAAATACTGAATTGAACCCACGAAAAGTTTAAAGTGGTGCTAAAAAGGCATTGAACAGAAGATTTGCATCCCCTCACACAGTACTGACCGTGCCTGGAGATCAGAAGGCATCTCACTCATGCTTACAAGCACGTCCAGACAGGTTTCATCCAGAGCACAGTTATCTCCTGCATCTGTTCAGAAGTCAGAGTGCTTTGGCACCGGAGCGCAGCTCAAATGAGTGGAAACTACTGTTAAACGCCTGTGCGTCATAACTCCACTCAAAGAGGCTTTTCTAAAACTTGGCATCAAAGTGTCTTACAAATGCACTTAACTAGATAAACTGCCAAGTCATAATAGCCAGTGTCGACAGAGAGCTGAATGACTGTGCCTCCGGCTAACACCGTCCCAAACTAACTAAACTAGTCCAGTGCAGGCCGTTCACAGAACACAGCGAGCGTTTCAGGACTGAGCCGACACCACACCACAGAACCAACCGCTTGGTGAAGAAAACAGGCAGTTTCTGAGTCTCAGGAGGGCGCGCGCACACACACACACACGCACACACGCACACACACACACTCTCTCTCTCTCTCTCTCGCACACACACACACTCTCTCTCTCGCTCTCTCTCTCTCACACACACACCCTCTCTCTCACACGCACACACGCACACACACACACTCTTTCTCTCTCTCTCTCGCACACACACACACTCTCTCTCTCGCTCTCTCTCTCTCACACACACACCCTCTCTCTCACACGCACACACGCACACACACACACTCTTTCTCTCTCTCTCTCGCACACACACACACTCTCTCTCTCGCTCTCTCTCTCTCACACACACACCCTCTCTCTCACACGCACACACGCACACACACACACTCTTTCTCTCTCTCTCTCGCACACACACACACTCTCTCTCTCGCTCTCTCTCTCTCACACACACACCCTCTCTCTCACACGCACACACGCACACACACACACTCTTTCTCTCTCTCTCTCGCACACACACACACTCTCTCTCTCGCTCTCTCTCTCTCACACACACACCCTCTCTCTCACACGCACACACGCACACACACACACTCTTTCTCTCTCTCTCTCGCACACACACACACTCTCTCTCTCGCTCTCTCTCTCTCACACACACACCCTCTCTCTCACACGCACACACGCACACACACACACTCTTTCTCTCTCTCTCTCGCACACACACACACTCTCTCTCTCGCTCTCTCTCTCTCACACACACACCCTCTCTCTCACACGCACACACGCACACACACACACTCTTTCTCTCTCTCTCTCGCACACACACACACTCTCTCTCTCGCTCTCTCTCTCTCACACACACACCCTCTCTCTCACACGCACACACGCACACACACACACTCTTTCTCTCTCTCTCTCGCACACACACACACTCTCTCTCTCGCTCTCTCTCTCTCACACACACACCCTCTCTCTCACACGCACACACGCACACACACACACTCTTTCTCTCTCTCTCTCGCACACACACACACTCTCTCTCTCGCTCTCTCTCTCTCACACACACACCCTCTCTCTCACACGCACACACGCACACACACACACTCTTTCTCTCTCTCTCTCGCACACACACACACTCTCTCTCTCGCTCTCTCTCTCTCACACACACACCCTCTCTCTCACACGCACACACGCACACACACACACTCTTTCTCTCTCTCTCTCGCACACACACACACTCTCTCTCTCGCTCTCTCTCTCTCACACACACACCCTCTCTCTCACACGCACACACGCACACACACACACTCTTTCTCTCTCTCTCTCGCACACACACACACTCTCTCTCTCGCTCTCTCTCTCTCACACACACACCCTCTCTCTCACACGCACACACGCACACACACACACTCTTTCTCTCTCTCTCTCGCACACACACACACTCTCTCTCTCGCTCTCTCTCTCTCACACACACACCCTCTCTCTCACACGCACACACGCACACACACACACTCTTTCTCTCTCTCTCTCGCACACACACACACTCTCTCTCTCGCTCTCTCTCTCTCACACACACACCCTCTCTCTCACACGCACACACGCACACACACACACTCTTTCTCTCTCTCTCTCGCACACACACACACTCTCTCTCTCGCTCTCTCTCTCTCACACACACACCCTCTCTCTCACACGCACACACGCACACACACACACTCTTTCTCTCTCTCTCTCGCACACACACACACTCTCTCTCTCGCTCTCTCTCTCTCACACACACACCCTCTCTCTCACACGCACACACGCACACACACACACTCTTTCTCTCTCTCTCTCGCACACACACACACTCTCTCTCTCGCTCTCTCTCTCTCACACACACACCCTCTCTCTCACACGCACACACGCACACACACACACTCTTTCTCTCTCTCTCTCGCACACACACACACTCTCTCTCTCGCTCTCTCTCTCTCACACACACACCCTCTCTCTCACACGCACACACGCACACACACACACTCTTTCTCTCTCTCTCTCGCACACACACACACTCTCTCTCTCGCTCTCTCTCTCTCACACACACACCCTCTCTCTCACACGCACACACGCACACACACACACTCTTTCTCTCTCTCTCTCGCACACACACACACTCTCTCTCTCGCTCTCTCTCTCTCACACACACACCCTCTCTCTCACACGCACACACGCACACACACACACTCTTTCTCTCTCTCTCTCGCACACACACACACTCTCTCTCTCGCTCTCTCTCTCTCACACACACACCCTCTCTCTCACACGCACACACGCACACACACACACTCTTTCTCTCTCTCTCTCGCACACACACACACTCTCTCTCTCGCTCTCTCTCTCTCACACACACACCCTCTCTCTCACACGCACACACGCACACACACACACTCTTTCTCTCTCTCTCTCGCACACACACACACTCTCTCTCTCGCTCTCTCTCTCTCACACACACACCCTCTCTCTCACACGCACACACGCACACACACACACTCTTTCTCTCTCTCTCTCGCACACACACACACTCTCTCTCTCGCTCTCTCTCTCTCACACACACACCCTCTCTCTCACACGCACACACGCACACACACACACTCTTTCTCTCTCTCTCTCGCACACACACACACTCTCTCTCTCGCTCTCTCTCTCTCACACACACACCCTCTCTCTCACACGCACACACGCACACACACACACTCTTTCTCTCTCTCTCTCGCACACACACACACTCTCTCTCTCGCTCTCTCTCTCTCACACACACACCCTCTCTCTCACACGCACACACGCACACACACACACTCTTTCTCTCTCTCTCTCGCACACACACACACTCTCTCTCTCGCTCTCTCTCTCTCACACACACACCCTCTCTCTCACACGCACACACGCACACACACACACTCTTTCTCTCTCTCTCTCGCACACACACACACTCTCTCTCTCGCTCTCTCTCTCTCACACACACACCCTCTCTCTCACACGCACACACGCACACACACACACTCTTTCTCTCTCTCTCTCGCACACACACACACTCTCTCTCTCGCTCTCTCTCTCTCACACACACACCCTCTCTCTCACACGCACACACGCACACACACACACTCTTTCTCTCTCTCTCTCGCACACACACACACTCTCTCTCTCGCTCTCTCTCTCTCACACACACACCCTCTCTCTCACACGCACACACGCACACACACACACTCTTTCTCTCTCTCTCTCGCACACACACACACTCTCTCTCTCGCTCTCTCTCTCTCACACACACACCCTCTCTCTCACACGCACACACGCACACACACACACTCTTTCTCTCTCTCTCTCGCACACACACACACTCTCTCTCTCGCTCTCTCTCTCTCACACACACACCCTCTCTCTCACACGCACACACGCACACACACACACTCTTTCTCTCTCTCTCTCGCACACACACACACTCTCTCTCTCGCTCTCTCTCTCTCACACACACACCCTCTCTCTCACACGCACACACGCACACACACACACTCTTTCTCTCTCTCTCTCGCACACACACACACTCTCTCTCTCGCTCTCTCTCTCTCACACACACACCCTCTCTCTCACACGCACACACGCACACACACACACTCTTTCTCTCTCTCTCTCGCACACACACACACTCTCTCTCTCGCTCTCTCTCTCTCACACACACACCCTCTCTCTCACACGCACACACGCACACACACACACTCTTTCTCTCTCTCTCTCGCACACACACACACTCTCTCTCTCGCTCTCTCTCTCTCACACACACACCCTCTCTCTCACACGCACACACGCACACACACACACTCTTTCTCTCTCTCTCTCGCACACACACACACTCTCTCTCTCGCTCTCTCTCTCTCACACACACACCCTCTCTCTCACACGCACACACGCACACACACACACTCTTTCTCTCTCTCTCTCGCACACACACACACTCTCTCTCTCGCTCTCTCTCTCTCACACACACACCCTCTCTCTCACACGCACACACGCACACACACACACTCTTTCTCTCTCTCTCTCGCACACACACTCTCTCTCTCTCTCGCTCACACACACACTCTCTCTCTCACACTCACACACACACTCTCTCCCTCACACTCACACACACTCTCTCACACACACACTCTCTCTCTCACTCACACACACACACACTCTCGTGTGTTTTCACAACACTGAACTACATGTACACTGATACAGTGAAGAGTCTGATCTTCAGATTGCACTGCCCACATCACCTCTCACACGCACCGCCGCGCAGGTCAAAGGTCACAGCCTGCATGCTGACTCTGTCACGGAGCAAAACATTTGATGTGAAGCCAGCGTTTGCCGATCTCATCTGGCCGTCTCACCCTCCTGCAATCACCATCAGAGCCCATCCGCGTGTACCTTGTCCAGCTCGTCGTGCAGCTCCGAGAGCGTGGGTCTGATGAGCTTCTCGCCCAGCGGCGCGGCGGTCTGCCGGTAGAAGTCGATGTTGGGCACGGCGTCGATGGTGTTGTGTCCGAAGGTGCGGAGGTAGTAGGTGTTGGTGTGGGTGTCGTAGTGATGGTGCTGCTGGCCGCCGCTGGACGAGTGCAGGCTGCCCTCGCTCATCACCGTGTCCCCGTTCTGCGCGCAGTCCGCCGGCGCCGCGTCCGGACTCGAGGCCGCGAAGTTCACGACGCGAAACCGGCCCTTGGCTTCCTCTCCGCCGGACGCGGAGTCCCGGAGCGGCTCGGCGGGGTACTCGGGCGGCGAGGAGTCGGAGGCCACCGCTGTTCGGCCGTCTCCAGCGCACTCGGACACCAGGTCCACCTGGAAGCGGCTCTGGCTCGGCGTGGGATCGGCGGACCCGGGCTCGGACCCGGGCGCGGAGAGATGGTCGCTCGCGGCGGCGGGGGGGGACCCCGACATGACGAGTCAGAAAAGCTGATAGTGTCCGACAGAAGTGCAAAGGAGCCGATAGATGTGACTGATGCTGCGGAAGACTAAAACAGCGCACACGCGGACGCAGTGGAGATCGGCGGCACGTCCAGTCAACACCTCCTCGAGGAAATACCCGCCGTGAAGCGAGCTCTCCGTGGCTAGTTTACGCCGTGATGCTGCGCGACCTTGCCGCAACTCCTCCTCTGGTGCCCGCGAGCCTCGCCGCTTTATACGCGCTCTGCAGCGGGGCAGGATGCTGGGCGGCATCGCGAGAGGAGGCGTTCTCGCGAGATTTGCCCGCTCCATCGGGGTGGAGACTCCACGGCGCACACTCACTCACACACACTCACACACACACACTCACACACACACTCACTCACACACACTCTCACACACACTCACTCACACACACTCACACACACACACTCACACACACACTCACTCACACACACTCTCACACACACTCACTCACACACACTCACACACACACACTCACACACACACTCACTCACACACACTCTCACACACACTCACTCACACACACTCACACACACACACTCACACACACACTCACTCACACACACTCTCACACACACTCACTCACACACACTCACACACACACACTCACACACACACTCACTCACACACACTCTCACACACACTCACTCACACACACTCACACACACACACTCACACACACACTCACTCACACTCACTCACACACACACACACACAGACACACACACACTCACTCACTCACACACACTCACTCACACACACACACTCACAGGCGAAGGAAGGAGAGGCTGAGTCACACACAACCAAGTGTCTCGAACCTTTATAATGCGACTGTAAGGGTAAGAAGACAACAACAAGACAAACGTGTTTGGCTCTCATTCATCACTCTCAGAGTGCATTTAATGTTAGAGGACATTATTTTTAACAACATCAGTTTTCCACAAAATTTCTTGAAGGGAAAATCATTTAAAAAATGACTGATGCTCAAGAAGGCAACACGATAAACAGTAGATTGTACTTATTTAGTCTTCGCTTCTGACGGGCTGCACTATATGAAATAAACATCATCCTGTTCAAAAGTTGAGCTTCTTGGGCGTCAGTAAATGTGTTCCCCTTTTGTGTGATAGCTGTGCACGAGTCCCTCAGCTGGCCTCCGAGTGAAAAGATGGCTCTGGAAATCACCCGGTCACCGCTGGAACGGGTTCAGATCTGCAGGAGACTGTGCAGGAGCTGGGGGATTCCTCTGAAGAGCTGCTCGGGACACACAAGGGTCTCATGAACAGCATGAACACAGCTCTGAGACCTCCACGCTAACATGCTCAGCCCAGAAGCCCAGAAGCAGTGTTCGCTGCGGATCGAAACTCACCTGATGTGTTTGACACCTGCTCTAAACCCAACGATCACAAATGTGTCAAAGCTTCATGAGCTTCAGCAGTGTCACAAACATCCATTACTCGTCCTCTCTTGTGAGTGTTCGTGATGCCAGGGTGGATTATAAACGACAGGCTTCTTACAGAAGTCCACATCACCCTGCTTCCCTCCACTAAAGCCCTGCAGCTGTTTGCCATTGGCTTTTGGATTACTGCAGAAAATCAGTGACAAAAAAAGAAAAAGCTTGTGATTCTTGCACGTTTTGTTCATCATGTTAATCTTCACACATATTTTATGAATTTTGAAGCTTAAATACAATTGGCAGAAGTAAAAGCTCAACTACGTTATGGTCACATAACTTCAGCATCGCTATCATTCAGCTTCAACAACTCTTTCAGTCTTATGTCAGGCTTTTAAGCAATGAAAAATAAAACCTTCAAAAACCCTTTGACTTATGGACAATGGGACCGGAAGGGCTAAAATCGTCACTCATTTCCAGGGTTTATCCTACAAAAATAGATCATCCCTGCAGCACTTCATGTCGTGGACTAGTACTGCACATGTGCAAAAGTGCCTTATAAACTCATTCATGTGTGCCCGAGCAATGAAAGCTGGCCCTGTGATGCACCAGCAGGACTGTGCTGTCACACGGTGACATGCAGAATGAGTCTGGTTAGCAGTGCTTCACGTTGTACTCGTGTGTCGTGTGGTTCTGTGTCTGTCTTCAGGTGCGTGAGCTGGTCAGGGTCAGAACAATACAGCCTGTACACAGTGAAGCGAAACAATATATCCTCTATAAGACAGCACGCGACAAACTCTACCTAATATAAATGATATGAAATAGACTAAACCCAGAGTTAAATGGGAACTAAAAGAGAAGAGCTGACTTCACAAGACTACATAAAGCACAACTGTTTGTACAGTACAAGAGAGACAGTGTAACGCAGACTTGGGTTGAGTGGGATACATGTGCGGTTTATTTAGTGAAAGCAAGCTCAACGGTCGAAATATCAGTACTAAAGTATCGTCAGAGGCAAAACAGCAGTCGTAGTCAACAATCAGAAATCCAGCCCAGAACAAACAGTAGCAAACCAGGGACGTCTCTGTCGGAGATGTTTTGCTGAAGCATGATTCCCTCAGGCCTTCAGCACTTCCTGTTTGACTTCTGCTTCCTTCCGTTTGGAGCTGTGCTGTGAAGCCCGTCCTTCACGAGGGCCTTCATTTCTTACCCAGGTTCAAATACACTGCATTTCCCAAACTAGGCCTAGAATGGCAAACACAGCAAGCACGGCACTACAGCTACAGCACTGCTCACTCTGACAGACCGAATACTTCTCCTGTACTGTACTCGCTGAAATGAGCCCACGTTTGAGTATCTCAGAACGAGTCCATCAGCTCAAAGTCTACAGAGTGTTTTACTTGGTAGGGCCACGTTATTATCTAGTTCCATGATTTGGGGGCATTCGATTTTAAAGGTATTTATTTCTTTCTTTTAGTTCCCAGACTGAGGAAATGCAAGGAAGGCTAAACTGAAGATGACAATGACCCAAATCAACACTTCAGTGAAATGACATTAGCTTTGAGCGACGGATGTTCTGTGTCAGGGGTCTCCAGACTCGGTTCTGCGGAGTTCCGCTTCAGTCCTAATCAAACACACCTGAAGCAGCTAATCAAGCTCTTACTAGGCACACTAGAAACCTCCAGACAGGTGTGTTGAGGCAAGTTGGAGCTGAACTCTGCAGGAGCGAGTTTAGACAGCTCTGTTCTGTGATCATGCAGTTGAGTTTCTTATTTAAACAGACAGACACCACACTGCTTTTACTACACTATAGCACAGTATGGTATATCTGTAGCGACAGTAATATGAGTATGGGTAGCATGCTGTTCTGAATTCAGCTTTGGTGTAGGGTTTCACAGTTAATATTTCCCCTCTTCCTGCTGCTCATGAAAACAACTGTGCCTGGTGTAATTATTGATTTGTCGTCTTCAAATAATTGTGTTTGGGAAATTGGTGAAACAGACGTGGTCAGCGGGGAGCCGTAACAAGCTGTCGACTGTGCTGATGCTGGGATGATGTATATCAGCCTCCAGTACGAGAATGATTAGAAACATACACCAGATAACAAGAAACCACTGAAACAATGCTAAATCAACAATGATGGGTCAATGTTAATGGCACTGAATTCATGTTACAAGGTTCAACATCACTTTTACACCCTCACTCAATGTTGAATTTTTAACAAAAAACTGAATTGAATCAGTTATATTGTGATTTCACATCACTGTTGTTGAGACAACATTGAAATTAAGAAGAAGAATCAATGTTGTTGCACCAAAGTTACAATATAATGTTGGCTCGACATCAGTGGATGTTGAAGTTAGAAAAATATCAATGTTCACTGGTCACTGAATCAACTTTACACTGTGATCACTTTGAAAAACATCTGAGCTCTAATGTTCAAAATCACGCCCCTCATGAGCTAATATTAAAACTACACTTCAATGCTACTTCAACATATGCATGACATTACAAAGTTCCTGCTACTACAGTAGAAATCAGAGCGTGAAGTCAAAACACTTCAGCTGCAGCGGAGACTTTTTTAATTTAATTTTGCTTTTTTTCAAACAATAATAACAACATGATACATCAGACAAAACACAAAAGAAAAACACACATTAACTAAACTAAAAATAAATCAAATAGAATTAAAAGGAAAAATGAGATACAATATATAACAATTGAAAAAAGAAACTCTGTCAGATCAAGTCATGTGGCACTGTTTTTATGTAATTCAAAAAAGGTTTTTAATCAAATAATTCACCTCTGCCCTTGAGTAAGTATGTGATCTCTAAAGTTTTACAGCTGCAAACTTCTGACAGCCACAATCTAACTGGTACATCAGTGTCTGCTTTCCATTTCAAGGCAATACATTTTTTAGCTAGTATAAACAATATCTGAGTAAGCTAAATAGTCTGACTGTGTCTAAGGTTAGAGTTGGTGAAATTGCCCGTAAGCACACCTCTGAGTCCACTGGGAAATCAATGCCATCAGTTCCATGAATCTTTGATATAATATCACATACTTTACAAAACACCGTCCCTTTAGAATGCAAGAAGTCCCTTCTTCTGTGCCCCATCTAAAGCAAAGGCCTGAAATACTGTTGTTAAACTCATGTAGTCTGGATGGAGTGTAAAAACTTCATCTATACCTGGCATTCAGGGCTGAAGTGACCCCACAGGTCTCCATCTGTTCTCGCCCCCAAGTCCCGCTCCCGTCTACTTCTGGATTTGTCTGGGTCATCTAAGGGCTGATTTGAAATCAAAGCTCCATATGTTCTAGAAATTTATCAGAATGAAAGAGTTGCTCAGTAAATGTCAAAGTTTTTGCTTTCACCCTTAAATAATCTTGTAATTGCAGATAACTAAATAATTCTTTATCACTTAAATGAAATGTATTCTGTAACTGCTCAAACGTCATTAAAACCCCATGGTCAAAACAACTCTCCACATGTGTAATTCCCTTATCGGCCCATTATAGTGTTATTTTAATGACAAATGTCGAGAGTGCATTATTGTAGCGTGAAAGCACATTAATATAATGCACACGGATTTCCTTTGCTCTTGCACAAAACCTGACTTCTCTCTCTCTCGCCCAGAGATAAAACATCTCTCCTCGCACTCAAACTGTCCTGTGCACTCGCAAATCTCTCTGTGCTCATGCGCTAGATACTCATTCTTTTCGCACCTGAATTAAACGTTGTCAAAAGAAAACAGATTTTTTTCACTAAAGGCCTTTCCTTGTTTTTTATTGTCTTTTCTGTGAATGCGCATATGCATCTCTCTGTAAAATACTTTGTAAACACTTTTAAAAGGCGCTATATAAATAAAGCTTTAAGCAATCGGACCTCCACAACTGGCTGATGAAAATACTACATGAAATCTAATTGGCCGAGAGGGAACTG